CATCGCACCAGACTGCCGGTGCGTGCGAACACGTCGCTTTTGCACAGATCCCTTTATGCACCCATATATATGCAGGACGGCGCAAAAGCTAATTTTATTTTCATGAGCATACCAGTGGATGGCAAACTGCGTCTCTACAGCCTTCAACGGAACCTAATTCTAGTATTGGCATGGCACCAGTCCGAACTTGAAATGCATGTGCATGAGCCCTGGGATTGCGCAAGGGATGAGTTTTAATTCTTTGGGTTATACGTGGTGCAAGGAACAAATCTTCTTGAAGCTTCAAACTTCTAGTTTGCCTGGTTCCAAAAATCGCATCCCCCATCAAAAAAAATTTCACATTTTCAAATGTGAGAACCAGGAGGATGTGAACGTTCATTTTACGGCTAGGGACCCGTGATAAGGTGCAAACTAAGTTGACATTTTCCAGAGGTTTCAAGATCGAAAAACTTCGAAAGATGTTATGCTCACACGCACACACATGCATACATACACACATACAAACAATCCCCCAGTAATATGAGTCTTTGCACTGCATAAATGTAAAAACGCATATAAAAGCCGTCCTTCATCTTATATCTTTTATACTAACTTTTATATCTTATAAAATGAGAGTTCTTCCAGCCCCTGATTAAGTATTGGTAAAACCTGTAGCGAAGTCAACCGTCGCATCTGCTCATGGAAGTGTTGCACTCGTGTTGCCATCTCGTCGTCAAGCTTTTTCAATAAACGATCACGGAGTGCTAACAGTGTATCGGTCATCTCTTGGCATGTCTGCCGAATACTGCAACAAAAGCTTGTCTGTTATTTTCACTTAAAGAAGGGTACGGATCATAGCACTGATGCTAAGGAAGTCCTAACTTTGCACATTGAAAGTCCATTATGCTTAAAAATATTACAGCATTCTTTTCTCAAAAAAATATCCTGGATCTGGCTTGTTCGCGAAGCCCATTTATTCTTGCTTTATTTATTAACATGCAAACTGGCAAAAGAATAGACTCTAAGGGAATTCAGAGATGCTCTGTTTATGAGAAGAGGCAAAGTGATCACGGAATCACCGATTAGTGAGGATCTTTCCAGTCAAAGGAACACATAGCATGTTTTCATGAGCACTTTAAATATATGTGACGATGCTAATGGAAAGCGCAAGGCAAAAAAGGAAGGTTACCCAGAACAACAAAGCCTGGCAAAGCTGCGCTCATCGTATGGCTACATTCCACTGACAGCAACAGCTTCACAGTTATGCGAGGGCGATTTTGGTGGAAATGTATTTTGCGCTGGCGCAATAAACTCTCCAGATTTAAAAAAAAAAAAAAAATTAATGATTGAAAGAAACCTCTCGCAAGCAACACGATGACTTTCAGCAAGTTCGGATGCCAAACGTTTCCGCAACTGTAGCTGTTCACGTACATCATCCTGCAATAAAAAATAAGTTATGAAGTTTGAAAGAGAATCTAATGGAAACAAATTTACTACAAAAATCGTGCTGCAGGTCAGCCTATGGTGCAAGAGAAAAGCGGCGAAAAAGGACGGGCGATTCTTTTTCAAGGGAAGTATGGTAACTTTTCGTACCTTCTCACCGCTCCTACCGTATAAGAAAATAGCAACGCGCAGAAGACTAGCCGGTGAGATCGGGCGTTTTGTGCAATTCCGTCCACCGAACGATT